ACTGGAACTGCAGTTCTCAGTTGACACCAACACGTCTCCTAGCAGAAAGTAGACCAGGCATGTTACCATGAACTCTTGACAACAGCACACCAACACGTCTCCTAACAGAAATGAATAAAAACACAAGCATGTTACCATGAACTCTTGATACTAGCACATCAGTACGTAACCTAGCGGACAGAAAACCGAGCATGCTACTGTGACATTCTCAGGTGTACAGATAACCTTAGAGATAGCTTGAGAAACGTCAATAAATGTATCGCAGGGTTAAACTGAATAATTGAACAAATTTATTTTGAAATAAACATTAAAAGAGATCTGAAGTTTCTTTTAGGGATCAGAAAACAAATTATAAAATGGTTAATTATTGAAACATACAAATATTATTATGGAAGATTAATTTTTTCTTCTCCTTAAGATTTTTTCTGTTTTTTGACAATTAAAAAAAAAGTTTCTTTTTAGAAGAAATATCTAAAAGTTTCATATTCTACGACTTTCTTTTAATACTTTTGTGTTTTTTTTTGTTTTTGTTTTGGAGGGGGCTATCCTCAGCAGTGTGGAGATTGGGCTAAAGGATATACAATATACTGTACATTTTCTTTGTCGTTTCTTTAATCTCGTACTTACATTTTATGAGTAAGGTACATAGAAGGTAATTTACACCTTTAGAAAACATTACTTAAGTTTGACATGCTGGAACTGAAGACCATATTTTTACCATAGCTCTATTTACTTCGTCTGATTTTAAACAATGGTCATTTAGTGTTCTGGTGTGAGCTGAATGCATCTATTTGCCAATCTGGTATACAGGCCAGACTTAGAAGTCTGTTTTGTTTTTAATCATCTGTACACTGATATAGCATGCAGTTGTAGCTAGGAACGTTTGCTTCAATCTCAGAGTAGGTACCCTATCATTACAACAGTCTAGAATAGACTAACGGTGGCCATCCGCTTGTGTACACCTGGAACAGAAGCAACAATAATGTTAGTCTGGAAACAGATAATCTTTATGTTAACTACACTTTCACACAGTTGTGGCCAGTTCTGTTGTGATGGTTGACTTTCATTAGCCCTCATGAAAGTGAAACATTGATATGTCTCTTTTTTTAAGTATAGCATTGGTTCATGAACAATCTGAAGTACTTTGAACTTCAAAATATCATCCGGGGCAAAAAATGGACAAAATGCTAAATATTTATAGGCTGAAACAATCATTTGTATTTCAGATCCGATGGCTAATTTGAATAACAATGATTCAAGAAGAATAACTGACGTTGTTTTACAGTGGTGGTTTTGTCTTGTAATAACTACAATATTACAAATTCCAGTTTTCATTTGATTGTTTCGTGCAGTGCATATTATATTCCTAACACAAGTATTGAGACCCATTGAAAAATAAGCACTGGTTAAACCAAGAAATACTTATTTTTTTAAAAATAATTGCTTCAATAAAACTTCAACTAGCATCTTACATTGTTATACAGATGTTAAATACGGTACATAAAAACGATTTTTAGAGGCCACCACGTTGTTAGAGTAGATGTCGCTATGTCCAATCAGAGTCTACCTAACGACCGTACATCTTGAAAATAGCCTAACAGCATAAATTTCATTGAAAAATGCTCTGTCGTAAGGCTGTCAGGAATAAATCACACTACTTTTCCCTGCATCCTTTCCATAAGCTATCTAATATATGAGGACTATGTTTTCCTAGTGGCTATTTCGACAGTCCTATTGCATAGAAATCCATAGGCGCTGTGCATAACGACTTAATGGCATGTCTACATACGGAACAGCATGAATACCCGTTTCATTCTCTGCTGTGCTTTGGCTGATTAATAATATCGTGAAAGCACTTTGAGTACACGTGACTAGTTTCCAGATGGAGATCATTCTTTGTTATGTTGTCTTTGTTTTCCAATGCCATTAGGTATAAAGTCCAGATGGAGATCCTTCTTTGTTATGTTGTCTTTGTTTTCTAAGGCCATTAGGTATAAAGTCCAGATGGAGATCATTCTTTATTATGTTGTCCTTGTTTTCCAATGTCATTAGGTATAAAGTCCAGCTGGAGATCCTTCTTTATTATATTGTCTTTGTTTTCTAATGCCATTAGGTATAAAGCCCAGATGGAGATCCTTCTTTATTATATTGTCTTTGGTTTCTAATGCCATTAGGTATAAAGCCCAGATGGAGATCCTTCTTTATTGTGTTGTCTTTGTTTTCCAATGCCATTAAGTATAAAGAATATCCTTGTTTTGGAAGTCCTAAATACCTGATCTGTACAATTTTATGACCTAAGTGTATGAAGTTCTAAATACCTGATCTGCACACTTTATGACCTAAGTGTATGAAATCCTAAATACCTGATCTGCACACTTTATGACCTAAGTATACGAAGTCCTAAATACCTGATTTTCACACTTTATGACCTAAGTATATGAAGTCCTAAATACCTGAGCTGCACACTTTATGACCTAAGTATATGAAGTCCTAAATACCTGAGCTGCACACT